ATCCAGCTCTACACCTTGTTATCTCAGATTCTCCAGCATCTGCAGTTCCTACTATCATTGAGGAAGGAAGTTACCTCCGCACCATTTTGCTTGCCCTCTGCTTTACCTGCTTGATTGATTGCAAATGGAAAGTACATTGAGTGAAATTGAAGCCAGCTCCCCAGCTTCCACTTTTTTCCGAAAAAAAAGTCATGTTATTTGCTTGACCTCAGGGTTAAACTTAAGATTTTCTCTGTAGTATTCGGAGCCTAAATTGAATGATCGTCAGCCTCTCTCAAACCAACCCCACAAGTTGGAAGATGCCATTCTTTCATGCACGTCCCGCCTTATCCAGAAGTGTGTAATAATATCTCGGAGTAGGTTGGTTAGAGAATATCGAGATTTGCAGCAAGGCTGCCCTCCCACCAACCAACCTTTTAGTTATCATTTAATTTGCTTGATCAATATTTGAATGAACCAGGAAAATGCTTACTGCTATTTGGCAATGCACCATGGTTTGACAACTGCTCAATCTGTAACGGTCTGTGGTCCTGCATCGTTCTAAAAGTCTGAGATCACAAAGCCCCATTGTTCACCAAGCATTTAAGGCACTGAGTTCTTCTGCTGTGAAGGGCGATAATTCCCTGCTCACATTAACAATAACAATTTGAGAGAAAGGTGACAAAAAAGTGCCCTTCTCTAAAGTGGCGGAATGTTTTCCCATTCTCTTCCCTTTCACTTCTCAACCATTACAGCCACATCGGTTGTTACCTGGACCCCGGTGCCTTTCAGCCCTCACTTACTGTCAGAAATTGTATCTTTATAAACTGGACAGAGTCTAAGTTACTGAATACCTCAGGACATCGCAGAGACTGTTCTAGTAGAATTGATATAAATTTGCATGCAGTTGTGGGATTAAATTTGAAAAACTAACGATTCTCAATTGTGAATTAAGATTGGAATAATGCCCCTAATTTTTGGACATTATTCAGTGCCACCCTTACACTCATGATCTCAGTCATTGTTAACTTAATGTAAGAGTGCATTACCTCTTCCTATCCTCTTGCTTTTCATGAGTGTTAGATGCTTGGCTGTTAGTGGAGGAATCAATTGAATGTGGATGTACCCAATAACATCATGGCATGATAAGTTGGAAGAGCTAAACTTAATAGAGATGTATTACGCCTATGCAACACTTCTTTCTAATTCCCAGTGGCTCTTGTACAGCTCAGAACATTTCTGCTCAAATATTTGGCAATGGGAGTAGTATCTCAAGGACCTTCTGTTATAAATTTCCGGCATTTGCTCATAATATGCCCTGGAATGTCATAAACTCTTAAAAATTAATCTGGCAAACACTGCATGAAAGAAAAAAAACACTCGAGACATCCAGTGCCAAGAGTAATTAGTCGCATTGGGTAGTTTTCATATTGGATTGAAACTCTCACAATATTATTTCAAGTTGTTGCGGGGTGATCCATTGTATCTTCATAACTCAAGGAGTGTACATTTTATTTTCTAGCTATTGCTTGAGGTGCTCAAGCTCTGTGCAAAGTCACAGTAACATGAAGGAAGAAACAGTTGTTGTGCTTTCCATATTCCATCAATCAGTGTAAGCCTTACAGGTTCATTGATTTAACACATTCACTGGTATAAAGGGTTTTCTGCTACATGACCTATAGACTCATTTAGCACCCATCATTTTGTTGTACAGATGCCAATAGTGATATTTTTGCGGACACATATTAATGGGGACATTGTTGCTTTTCCCTTCCCTGACAGGGACCAGCACACCCCTGGGGGGAAAGTCCAAAATGTAATGTCAGTGAATAAATAGATGAAAAAGGCGTAGCCAGTTCTGTGTGTAGTAAAATTGCAAACATGTATCTAAAAAATGTTTCACGACACAGAGAGGGAATCGCCTCTCATGGTTTTAAACTTTAAAGTTCCTACCTCGGGCAAGGTATGCAAACTGAAACCAGGGATTGATGACTGTGGAGGCTGGCTGCGTCTCCCTAAATTTTAAGCAAAGTTGCCAAGACTTCCCTTCTGTCTGCTGGTACAGCCTTCATCCTTGCCAATTCTTGGGCTCCCAAGAGAGTCTTCCAAGATTTAAAGTCATCTCTTGATTTTCCTTCTGGTTCAGCAGGGTTTTCAACCAGAACTTGCACCTTCCATGGAGGGACCAGTAGTGAGCAACTCACTGAAGGTAAGCAATTGCCAAGTGCCAGCTTGCTGGCTGCGGGTGGGAGCTGTAAGTTTCATTTGTGCAATCACATTTAAAGAAAAGTGTAAGGCTTAATGTTTAATTTGCTGACAAGCCTTTTCATTTCTAGATGCTGCAGTTAGAATCATACAGTTATATAATACAGAGGAGGCCATTCGTGCCATCTTGTCTTCGTCATCTTGCTGTTTGAGCTCTGCCATTTAGCCCCAGTCCTGTGCCTCTTCCCTACGTATAGTAAAAATGCTCAATATTTATTACATTCCTTTTAACGTTTGTCAATGTTTCTGCTCCCATTGCTGTTTCTTTCCTCATGGAGTCATACAGCACGGAAACAAACCCTTCAGTCCAACCAGTCCACGCCAAACATAATCCCAAACTAAAGTAGTCCCACCTGCCTGATCCTGGTCCAATATCCCTCCATACGTCGCCTATTCATCTACTTGTCTAAGTGTCTTTTAAACGTTGTAATTGTGCCCGCACTCTCCACTTCCTCAGGAAGTTCATTCCACACACAAAAACCACCTTCTGTAAAAAATTTACCCCTCGTGTCTTTTTTAAACCTCTCTCCTCTCGCCTTAAAAATGTGCCCCCTGGTCTTGAAATTTCCCATCCTGGGGAAAAGACACCCACCATTAACCCTATCTATACCCCACGTGATTTTATAAACCTCTACAAGGTCACCTCTCAACCTCCTACGCTCCAGTGAAAAAAGTCCCAGCCTCTCCTTGTAACTCAAGCCATCCGTTCCCGGCAACATCTTGGTAAATCTCTTCGGGACCGTCTCTAGCTTAACAATATCCTTCCTATAACAGGGTGACCAGAACTGGGCACAGTACTCCAGAAGAGGTCTCACCTGGGACACTGAATGAGATAACAGCCCTCTTGATGATGATCTTACATTCATTCACTCACTTGTGGAAAGAAAATATTTCCACTTTACCAAGTGAGAACATCTCATAATCCGAAAGTCTAGTATCAGATTGTAAGTATACATTGAACACTAGCTCCAATCACCTCCTGCCCACTGACAACAACATACTGGTGTGCAGTGCTGAAAAAGACTTTGTTTTCTTCACATTCTGCAGAGTTACCAAGTACATGAATGATTGTTGTTGACAATCAATTGCTGGTTACCTGTCCTTATAATACCTCTGTGACCACCCTTGCCAGTTGTATACATTCCCCCTGTATTTTTCAATTGATTTACTCCTCCACAAAATATTTTCTTTGTTACCAGGATTTGCATTAATCCATGAGGAATGGTTGATCAGCATTGATTAGGCTCTCATTACCTACTGACTTGCCCCAAATCATACAATTGACATCATATTAAATACATGTTTATCTTCAAGCTAACAGACATCCAGCTCTCCTATCATTGAAAAAGGCTGAAATGAAATTTGCATCATTTAACAGCCTTGACTAATTCAATTCCACAATAATTATGCCACATGAGGGAAAGCTCCAGTTATCAAAATACTTATTTGAACTGCGCCCTGTAGCAATTGTAACGAGGTCAGCCACATGGACCTCATGGAGTGGGTCCTCTGATTGGGGCTGTTAGTCTGGTACAATCGGTGATGCCTGGCTGTCAAATAAGGACAGGAGTGTGAGACATTCTGCTCACTCTGAGGGCTGGCTCTGAGGGAGCTGGATCATGGTCAAGAACATTCCACGAGTAAATAAAAGGTGGCTTGGTAACAGGATACCAGCAGTGTAGAGTGGTGACAAAAGCAAAGCATGCTGCTGAAGAAATTCGCTCACAACAGTCATCTTTGAGTTGGGGTGACCATTTCTGGCATCGTGCTGTTATTTGCTACGAGGAACCTAACTTTCCCTGAGGCACCAGATACTAAAATCTTTCAAAAGTTGGTGGGTTTAGTTACAGAATATTACGACCTCGAGCCTACTCCGATTCTGAGTTGTTATCGTTTTTCTCAGCAATTTGAGAACCAGGGGAATCTGTATCAGGATTTTTGACTCGGTTAAGATGACTGGCAGAGGCATGTGATTCTGGTTTAACCCCTAATGAGACCATTTGGTATGTGGGATTAATGATGTAACCATGCAAAAGCACCTACCAGCTGAAGCTCAACTGGGCTTCAAACAGGCACTACAACTGGCTTTATCATTGGAAAATGCAGCAAGTGGAACATGAGTTACAGGGTATTCCACTGGAAGTGGACACTCTCGCCAGTCCGACTGATCTTGGAGAACACCAATTTAGTGAAGGCACTCACTCAGGACATATCCTGAACAGGGGGAGTCTTGGTCAGACCACAACAAAGGCAAGCCTCGGCCAAAAGATTAAAATCGGAATCTGAGATGGACATGGTAGATGTTGCTGCCTCAATGTCTTTGCTACCTGAAGAAGGGAATGAATTTCTTCCAAGATGCTTGAGGAACCCGGCTGTGGTCAGACCACGTTTGGAATATTGGGTGCAGTTTTGGACCCCGATCCTAAGGAAGGATGTGCTGGTGTTCGAGGGGTTCCAGAGGAGGTTTACAAGAATGATCCTGGGAATGAAAGGTCTGTCATTATGAGGAGCGGTTGAAGACTCTGGATCAGTGCTCGATGGAGTTTAGAAGGATGAATGGGGAGCTGACTGAAACTTACAGAATACAAAGAGGCCTGGATTGAGTGGATGTCGAGACCATGTTTCCACAAGTAGGAGAGACTAGGACATGAGGGCATAGCCTCAGAGTGCAGGGATGATCTATTAGAACTGAGAGGAGGAGAAATTTCTTCAGCCAGAGGGTGGTGACTCTGTAGAACTCATTGCCACAGAGGGCTGTGGAGCCAAGTCATTGAGTGTCTTTAAGACAGATAGGTTCTTGATTAGTAAGGGGAAGAAAGGTTACAGGGAAAAGGTAGGAGAATGGGGATGAGAAACATATCAGCCACGATCAAATGGTGGAGCAGACTTGATGGGCCAAATGGCCTAATTCTGCTCCTATATGTTATGGCAGTTGAATGGAAATGTGATGGATGCAGCATGACATTCCATCCATCAACTGTTCCCTACTTCCCAACCTTCCATCTGTGACCTCTTGCTCATCTTCTGTTCATGACTTCCCCCCAGTATTCCGGGGCACCATCCCTCCGTAAGCTTCCAACCACGTATTCCACCTCCACCCCTAACCATTGTAGACCATTTCTACCCAGGATCTCCCTACAAGTACATAACTTGGACACAATCCCTTCCTTCAACATTATTTGTTTAAAAATTATATACAACAATAGCCATAACCATAGTCACATGACACTGCTGCTCAATGGCGGCCAAGCAAATACTTGTCTATGATTGTGATTCACTGCTCAGCATTCAAATATTTGCCCATTCAGAAAGCCGTAGAGACATTCAGCATGGAAATAGGCCCCTCAGTCCAACCAGTCTGTGCCGACCATAATCCAAAACTAAACTAGTCCCACCTGCCTGCTCCCTGCCCATATCCCACCAAACCTTTCCTATTCATGTACTTGTCCAAGTGACTTTTAAATGTTGTAATTGTGCCCGCATCCATCACTTCCTCAGGAAGTTCATTCCACATGCGAACCACCCTCTGTGTAAAAAATTTGCTCCTCATGTCTTTTTTAAATCTTTCTCCTCTCACCTTAAAAATGTGCCTTCTAATCTTGGGGAAAAGACAAGTACCATTAACTCTATGTATACTCCTCATTATTCTATAAACTTCTATAAGGTTCACCTCTCGACCTCCTATGCTCCAATGAGAAACGTCCCAGCCTATCCAGCCCATTTGATGCATTATCATTTGTCCCATGAGCTTGGACTTTGTGTACAGCTCAGTACCACCCTGAAACTCAGGTCGATAATATCCAATGTCTTTCTTTGTCTGTCTATAATCGATTGTTCATCACCTCCTCAAAAAGATCCAATTCATTGGTCAAGAAGAGTGCCAGTTCCCAAAGCAGTGGAGAATGTTACTGATTCATTCACTGCCCCTTGAATCATTCCTTTATGGCACTTTCTAAAAGGTAAGGCTTCCCTGCTTCTCATTTGGTGGTTCCTACCCCACCACCGTTTCTGAAGATGGGAGTCACCTTTGCTATTTCCCAGGTTTTCTGGGATTTGGCAAGAGTTCGGTGAACTTGGAAGGACATCCACTGGTATTAATCTGAGCTAGTCCTTCAGCACCTTGACATGGAAATTGCCAGACCCTCACTGCATTTGAGGCCTCATAACCTCCCCAGTAACCTCCCTAATCTGTGCACTTTTCATAACTTCAGGCATTTCGCTTTTAAACCACCCCAAATCTGACATTAACCTCCATATTCTACTTGTCATTTCTCTTGTGGGCCGATCTCCCTTAACACCCTTTCTTGAGTCGACTGGCCAGCAGGATATTTTACTGCTCATTTTTCACATTTGAAGCGATGGTACACTCTCTACAGCTTTGTGTTTTATGCCATTCCTCATGCTGTTTTATAAATCCCTTGCTCGTCTCCTGAATGTTTTATATTATTTTTCAATCTCCTAAACCCCCCACCCTGCTTTCAATTTTGTCACCAAGCCAAATGAGTCTTAATCATTTTTTTATCCCAATCTATTTTAAGGAGTTTGCATCTCAAAAACTGGTCCTTTGAAACAATTCTCTTTTGCTGTTACTGTCTTTTCTTCTTTACCCATCCCAAGTGTTCAGTCGTACTGTTTTCAAAAACCTTTGCAATTTGGCACTTAAATTAGCTTCCTTTCGGTTTTCTACTCTTGAGCATCAGAACATTCTGGCCACTCAATCCAAATGCTCCATCTCACATTGCAATGCCCCTTGACAGTCTCTTCATGTACTTGTGAAAAATAAGTCACAATTTCAATAACCTCACATTCCAAAGCAAACTTTCCACCTACTCTACTCAATACGAGGAAGATTGAAAACTGCCAGGATTACAGCTTATTGTCACTTTCAAAACTGCACCAACTCTACTTTGACTGATGGGTGACTACCAGCATAGTCCTCTCATACAGTCATAGACTGTGAAAGGTTATCCCTTTAATTCTCTCCAGAGACTCAGTGGCATCCAACACTTGTAACAAATCACTTAGTAACAAAGTAATGTCACCACATCAGCTGTTTAACCTTAGGTACCCCTTCCCTGTACCTCCCAAGGCTAGAGCTCACATTGGAATGCTTGTATGTTACTGGCTGTTGAATATTCCAATTGCAAATGGATTTCGGTCGGCTATTTCTTTTTACAAAAATAGTGAGTGGATGTTTAATATTGCAGGGTTAACTTCTCATGTGTTTCCTCGCACTTATTTGTCCAACCATCAGGAGTATTTCCTGAACAGGGCTTGTTTAATAAGCCTTGATGCATTTTTGGTTAAAGTCAGCTGTGCTCATGTTCTTAGCTGAGATGGTTAGAGCAATGATAAGTAGAGGTGTCTCAAAATGGAGTGACCGAGCAGGTTCAGGGGCTGGAATCATCTCTCCCATTTCTCTGTTGTTCCCCTTTCAGAGCCCCGTTTCTGGAATATGAGGAGCTGTTTTGTTTTTGACTGATTTTGATATGTTGGGAGCTGACCATTTTGTCCCCTCTCTCCACATTTTGCTTGCAGCACCTGGCAGTTTCCAGAGAGTACGACAGCGACTCTTTGAAAAGGTTCAGCTGGACGGCAGATACATTGGACAACATCAACCTGGTCTCCAGCCCCATTCATTCAGGGTAAGCTGTAGTTCCTACAGACCAGCCTCTCCGACAAAATGTCACATCCTCATATCAACACAACTTCCTGCTGATTCAGCGCAAGGCTTATGTTCCCTCCTCCTCATTTTTTTTTGGATTTCTCTGACAGTAGTAGTATTGCTAGATACTCAGACAGTCGCCCTGATGGGCAAAACTACAGCTTTGGGTTAGCCTGTCCTACAGCTTGTCTTGGGATTTCACTCGAAGCTTAAATGTCATTCTATTGTGACCTGCCATAACACATTGCAGCTTGCAACAAGGGAACCCCATGATGAAAGAAGGGCCTTGTGACAAAACTCAAGCTGCGCTCAGCTTTTCCTCCTGTTGACAATGTGGCCTTCAATGAAGTGGCGTTACGTCAATGCAGCTTTGGTAATCATGATTTGTTGGCCTCATGCCTCAAACCTCTGTCGGCTTGGCCACCCAATTAGTTCGCCTCTGTTCTGATAACCAAATCAAGCAAATAACCATTCAGCCCCACAAAACCTGCACTGCACCCAGAATCCACAAATGATCATTCATTCCACACTTGTAAATACCAGGGATCCCTGGTTTTGTGCCCACCGGAGCATTTTCCCATTTATCCCTTGCATCTCCCGCTCCCCCAAGTCAGGAGTGTGATGGAATTCTCCCCACTTGCCTGGATGGGTGCAGATCCAACAACACTCAAGTAGTTTGGCACCATCCAAGACCAATCAGCCCGCACTTAGTTGTCATCCCTCCTACCACCTTCAACGCTCACTCCCTCCACTGGCAGCAGTGTGTACCATGTATAAGGTGCATTGCAGTAACTCCCCAAAGCTCCTCTGACAGCATCCTGGGAAAGGGCTCTGTAAAGTCCAAAGGCAACTGAAGCCACACACAATCAAAGACACCAATTGAGACAGCACACGCTCAGTGCGTGCCAGTCCTGTCTCGTAGTCATTTGTTCTAGTCCCACTGCAGACCCTCAGATATATTCACAGTGCAGTTCAGCATTGAGAGAGCATCACACTGTCAGAGGGGCTGCCTTTCAGATAAGGTGTTGTACCTTTAATTGTCAAGGCGTGTCACCTGGTGTGCCTTAACAATATGTCTCACTGCTTTGTCTATTGACCATATACTTCAGCAGATATAAGATCATTACTTTGGACATAAACGATAAACAGTGGAGGCCTATAGAGACTTAGGTGTGTCCATGTGGACAGATTACTCCAACATCATGAACAGTTACAATAAGTAGCCAGAAAGGCAAATGAAATTCTAGTCTTCGTATCTGGGGAGTAGTGAACAACAGGTTTAAAGGCATTCTTCAGGTATACAAAGCCCTGGTTAGGACACTCCAATAGTACAGTAAGCAGTCTGAGCTCCTCACCTCATGTGTGATATAATGGTCTGAGAGGGAGTGGAACCTAGTTTAATAGAATGACACATCGATTCTTAAGGGTTAAATTACGAGGAGAGATTCCATAATCCTAGTGTTGTATTCCATGGAATTTAGAAAGTGATTGAACTAATGTTTTCAAGATATAAAAGGGATAGGATAGGATTATTTCCACAAGTTGAGGAGTCTATGACTGGGAGTATAGTCTAAAACCTGCTGCCAGATGTTTCAGGAGTGAAATTAAGAAACCTTCCTACACACAAGGAATGGTAGAATTTTCAAACTCAAGTGGCAGTTGTGGTGTTTATTTGAAATCAGAGATTGGCTGATCTTTGCTAACCAGAAGTCTAAAGTGACAAAATTGCGTTGCAAACGAACGATGGTCTCGTGTGGGAGAGTGGCTTCCTCACATATAGCTGCTCTGATCCCTCTCTTCAGCCTCTCAGTTTGATGCAAAAAATGTCCTGTGACATGTGCATCGATGACCAGGGCAGTTCCATGGGCACAATAAAAGCAAAATGCTTCACATCATGTCAAATCACAAAGTGTTAGAAGTGTTCAGCAGATCTGGCAGCATTTGTGGCACATGTTGGCATAGTGCCAATGTCACCAGATTGATAGAGCTGAGGTTTGGGCTAATGCCTGGGGCTCTTGGTTCAAAATTGCCATGCAACTGGTAGAATTTGAATCTAATGAATAATTCCAGAATATAAAGCTATCCTTGGCGATGGTGACCATCAGTTGTCATCAAAACCCGTCTGGGTCACCATTGTCCTATAGGGAAGGAAATCTTCACCTGGTCTGGACTACATGTGACTCCAGACCCACAGCTCTGAAATAGCCCAACAAGCCATTCCATTCCAGGGCAATTAGGGATGGCTAGCAACACCTTCATCCTATGACAGAATGTAGAAAGAAAATCTCTGCAGGGAAGGGATGCAGAATTAGCATTTTGAGTTAAATATGTAGGTTTGCCACAAGAGTTACACCAACATATTTTAACCAAGATTTATCACTTAACCAGCGTCATTGATGAGGATTATTTTGATCGACCTTTGCACCTCTAGGTTTACGATCTGTGATCTCACCCTGGGGTTCCGCTGCAAATCAACATCCAGTTACACTGGGTTTTGGGGGGTTGGCGGTGGTGGAGATGTGGTGAGGGCAGGGTGGGGTTCAGCTGTGAAGCCTTCTGGAGTCGGACAGCTTGCTGGTACTGACCTAGGTGACCGACCGAAGGCTGAGTGAGAAAATGAACAGCTACGAGTGCTATCAAGGAGGGAACAGACGGGCCAGGCTTATGCTTAAAGATAAATGAAGGTGTGAAGGAGGACTGCGATTTCCTGTTGAAGACTCCTTGCAGTTTTACAACGTCCTTCACAGGTCATTGAGTTGAGTGGTCAGCAACTGAGAAATCCCACTGCGGCACGTTCAGAGGAAGCTGGCACACCTATTCGAGGAGTGCAGATTGTAATCTCTTCAGGATCCAATGTTCAAATTGGACCTAAGATTACAATGTGTCTGAGCAGAGAGTGGCCTCACCCTGAGGCACATTGCCTGTCAGCTGGAGTTCTGCAGCGTTGTACATCTCAGGTCCTGAATGTCCTCTGGTGTGTCGGAAGCTGTAGTTAAGCCCACACACAGCATGCTGGGTGTACATGTGGCAGCAAATGTAACATTCACATTCATTTCAAGAGGGCTAGATTATGAGAGCAGAGATGTTGAGGCTGTGTTCAGCTCTGGTCAGATCGCATTTGGAATATTGAGAGCAGTTTTGGACCCCAATTCCAAGGAGCGATGTGCTGGCCTTGGAGGAGGTTCAGAGGAGGTTTACAAGAATGATCCTGGGGATGAAGGGCTTGTCATAGTGGTTGGGACTTTGGGTCTGTACTCGATGGAGTTTAGAAGGAAGAATGTGAATCTGATTGAAACTTACGGAATACTGAGAGGCCTGGATCGAGTGGATGTGGAGAAGATGTTTCCTGTAGTAGGAGAGACAAGGACATGAGGGCACAGCCTCAGAGTGAAGGGACGACCCTTTAGAACTGAGATGAGGAGGAATTTCTTCAGCCAGAGGGTGGTGAATCTGTGGAACTCATTGCCACAGAGGGCTGTGGAGGCCAAGTCATTGCGTGTATTTAAGACAGAGATAGATAGGTTCTTGATTGATAAGGGGATCGAGGGTTACAGAGAGAAGGTGGAACAATAGGAATGAGAAACGTAGCCATGATTGAATAGCGGAGCAGACTCATTGGGCTAATGGCCTAATTCTGCTCCTATATCATGGAAAGAAACAGAGAAAAAGATGCATTTAAATAGCAGCCTACATAACCATGAGACAACCCAAAGTGCTGTACGTCCAATGAAGTGCTTTTGAAGTGTAGTTACAGTCGTCAAGTAGGACAATACTATGTGGTTCTCGTGTAGTTTTCTTCTGGAACTTTCTGTTTTAGAAGACTTATCTCCCTATCACCAGCACCCATCCAGCCAGTGCTCTGTAACCAATCTGCTCAGCTCCACCCAGACTGTCTCAGTCCCAGGTTCACTCCTAGTTCACTTGAACTTTGGAGCCAGTCTGACCGCACGTTTCGGCTCATACCCAAGGAGATCAGCTCAACCTAATCCCAGATGGCTGCAGAGTAATCTGTGTTTAACAGGTCAAAACAGCTCTCCTGTTGATCTTAGTGTCTGGCATCGAGGATATTTGAGAATAGTTTCTTATGTTTTACTCCGTCTGCCAGCCAGTTAGTTACCCATTCTTGTGACTCCTCCTTAGGCTGCTGCAGACTTTTACTTTGTAAGTTCAGTGGGAGTCCTGCGGCCAGTGAAAGCTGATGGAAAGAAAAGCTGTGGGCGATAAATATGTTCACAGGACATCAGCAAGTAGTTGTAGCGTTTAAACTACCTGATTCAACATAGGCTGTGTTCACTGTGGTGTTCAGAAAATCGTTGCAACTGTCTCTGAATCTCTCTTGAATTTCTTTGCTCAACGCTCTCTGCCTCTCTCCCTTTTTATTTCACGCCCCAGACCTAGATATAATAGTTCGAATACACGTACAAACAGATTCAAGGGTAGCTTCTTCCCCACTGTGATCAGACTTTTGGACAGACCTCTCGAATGTTCATTCTGATCTCTCTCTCTGCACCCTCTCTGCAGATGTACCACTGTATTCTGCTGCTCTGATGCACTCTGTATGGTACGATCTGCCTGTATAGCACACAAAACAATACTTTTCACTGTATCCTGGTACATGTGACAATAACAATATTAAACTCAGACTCGACTGAAAGGTTTGTTTTATGGTGATGTTAGCAGTGTTGTGTGGTATAACCTTATAAGCACAGGCCATTCAGTCCATCAGTGCCTCTGTTTGCCCTCATAAACCCACTTCCTTTCTTGCTCTGACCACAAAGTGCCACAAATGTTATCCGTTTTCAGGTTTTAATGGAAATTGTCAAAAAAAAAAAGAAAGAACTGCGGATACTGTAAATCAGAAGCGAAAACAGAATTTGCGGGCAAACTCAGCAAGCCTGGCAGCGTCTGTAGAGAGAAATCAGAGTTAATGTCTTGGGTCCAGTGACCCTCCTTCAGACCCTTCCTCAGTCTGTTCTGAAACGTTAACTCTGATTTCTACCCGCGGATGCTGCCAGACCCTGCTGAGCTTTTCTAGCAATTTCGGTTTTCGAATGGAAATTGTCGCTGCTCTTGTTTGTTTTGCAGAACTAATGTTTACACAGCGCGGATGCAAACTGTATTCCTGGTGAATCTGATGGTAATGTGCCTTGCACCGTGTCTGATCCTTCCTGGTCATCCTTTACATTTGCACGGGGTGGGGTGGGGGTGGTGTTGCTCTTCCTGCGATTCGGAGGGACTCACTCACGCTGTTTGTTTCCTTTTGTCGACTGTCTCTCTCTCCTTCCAGTTTCCTCGTCAGTTTCATGGTGGATGCCCGGGGTGGATCCATGCGAGGCAGCCGTCACAATGGGATGCGCATCATCATCCCACCCCGCAAGTGTACCGCACCCACGCGCATAACATGCCGCCTGGTGAAGAGGCACAAACTGGCCAGCCCACCCCCAATGGTGGAGGGCGAAGGACTGGCCAGCCGGCTGGTTGAAGTTGGACCATCGGGTGCCCAGTTTTTGGGGTAAGTGGCTGCCT